GTCTCCTACACTCTCTATACATAAGACACAGAGGAAGAAGGGTGAAGAATAGCTTTCTCTGGAGGCTTTTCTTTGTCTCCTTCCCATGCTAGATGTGCAGCAAGGCCCTTCGACCCTGTTTGGGTCAAAGTATTGGCAATAACAGCAGAGACACCAGTCCTGTAGGCAGATGGAGCTCTGCCCGCTGCCTCACAAAAGGGGAAGCAGCCCAGGGGAAGTGGGAGCTTCTGATGCATCGTGCACATTATTTAGTCTGACATCACGTGTGGGACAGCCAGAGATGGCACCAGACACCGGGTGATGGCAAATCCACGTATGTGTGTATGCACAAGTGTGTAGGACCAGACACAGGTCTGTGCTGGGCCTAGAAAAGTGCTTTTGGTCTGTGGGAGACGGAGAATAAAATAAGGCTGTTTTCAGGGAAACAGCAGCGGAGGAAGAGACGATGAAGATGAGCACACAGCATCACCCCCTCAGAAGCCGGAGGACAAGGTGACACTCACCCATGGTCTGGAAGTTAAGTGCCACCATCTGACAGCCAACATTCCAGAACATCTGGGGCATGTAATTGGAGGAGTCCATGCGGGTGCCTTTGGGGTAAATCCGGCTCATCTGTCGCTTGTTGTATCTACAGTTGATCTATAGGAAACAAGTCCGGAGAGCTCCTTGTGTACCCTGGGGCTACCTCACATATTCTGATCATGAAAGTTGTTTAAGCTCTGCTACTGAATGCTCAGAGCCTTCCAGACAAGAAGAAAGAGAGGCCCTGGCAACAACAGCCTCCTTTCCCACACCCTTTCCACTGAAGGACAAGCATCTGGTGTTCACTAGAGCAGGACACATCCCATGAATCTCTGTGCACAGCCCCCACAGCCACCCCAGAAGATCCCGTGTCCCACCTGCAGGCTTTATATCTCTGATGAAGAGTTTACCAGCTCCTGAAACCAGAGGCCAGTTGGCTGTGTCTCAGTCTTACCCAGATGTCAGGTTAGCTCTGATATTCCCTACAACCAACTGCGTGGGACAAAGGCTGCCAAAAGGATACTCCACAAACTGCATGGGGAACTTGGTTAGTAGATCGTAAGCTTTCATCTCTGTGAAGGAAGAGATGACGTAACTCCGGTTCTTCTCTAGAAACAGAAGGTAAGAAAGCATTTAGAAGAAAGACATGAACAGCCCCAATTGCATGGGAGGAGCCTGATGGACCCAAGAAGCACTTGGCCTGTTTACTCCCACCTTCTGCCAGGTACAGGTTTCTATCAAGATAATTTACCTTTCTCTGGTCCCTTGAAAAGAGACTCAAGAATAATACTCCATAAAAGGTGATTTATTTTTACCAGGGAGACAATGGTTGTGCACTACAGGACAGGAACTCAATGGAGTACAGACAGGATGGGCTCACAAAGCTTAAATGGCAATAACTTTGTCCATCTCTTTCTGGATTTCAGTGCCATTTAGAGAATAGCTCCTGCCCGGAATTTTAGTTCCATGTAAATCCAAATATTCAGTCTTACACAAAGATCTTTGTCAAGTTTCCTCTTCTTCACTCCATTATTTTTTTCTTTTTCTTTTCTTTCTTTCACCAAACCAGCTCACTCAAAGCTAGACCCAAATGTGGGAACTGTTTAGAGGAACCTATTGTGTCTAAAGAAATTGCGTGCATTTTCAGTGTTTGAGCTCTTTGTCTGTCCAGTCACCGCAGAAGAGGAAGGCCAGTCGTGTATGTTAAGAAAAACTGGGCTCCTCCCTGAGCACATCCAGAGAGATGGCACTGCCCTCTGGGCTGTTTCTCTTTGTCCTCACCCGTGTATCTGGGAGCAGGATCTGACATAGCCCTGGCTTCTCCTCACCAACCCCCTACTGCAGGGAGGAGGACAGAAGGGAAGCGGTCGAGAGAACACAACAGCAAAGGGGTGAAAGCAAGTCACCCAGGCAGGGGGAGAACAGCAGCATCTGAAAGCCCTGCTCTCCCAGCTGAACAGAAATACTTGGGATTCTGAAAGGCCTGAGTTTGACTTACGGGCAGAGACTTCAAAGGAGTCAAATTTGATGGGCTGTATGTAATTAACTAGGCTGGACATTTCCTCGTACGCCGTCACTTCCAAACCAGCAGTGCCCTGAGTAGAAAACAAAACCCAAGAGAAGACACATGGAGAGACCTTTCCTAGAGATGAAACAAGGCACACTTGGGCTTCACAATCAGAAGAGCACACCAGTTTCTTTGGCTTCCTGGTCCTACAGTTACACTGTGGGCAGCGTAGTCGGGGCACAGAGTTTCTAAGTAGCTTGGAAAAAACTGGAACTGAGGCATATGGAGAGGTATCGGTAGGTAAGAAGCCCAGGACCTTGTTAACCTCTCAAGGCATGGAGTCTGGGACAAACTGGGGTCATTGTTTTCCCTTCTCTCTGAGCGATACTGGGAAGAGGAAAATAGGAAATGGATTTTTTTTATTCAAGGGAACGCAGATCTCCTCCTTCCCCCTTCAGCAGCAGCACTTCATGTTTCGGTAGCAACTTTTATCAGACGAAGGCTAAGCGTCTCCAAACACCCTGGAGGCAAACAGTTATCTCCAAATCATGCAGAATATCAAAGGCAGAGTCAGAAATAAGAACTCTTCTGCCATATTCTCTATGTGAACATCATTTCTCTTACTCAGTTTCCCTGACAGAAGTCCTGTTGTCACAGGAGAAGGAAAGCCCCAACTGGTCACAGCACTCTTCATTCCCCTTTGCACTTTGGGTTCATCTCAATTCAATGCAGTGAGGCCCCAGAGAAAACTGAAGGCCAGAAAAAAACCCAGAAAAGGAACAGAAACATCAGTGACAGTACCTCATCTGACTGCATCTTTTTAATTTCCTCTTCATCCAGGTTTCCGAGATGTTCATCCTCTTCCTCTGGTTCTTCTTCAGCCACATCACCTGCCCAGACTAACACACAGAGCCCACATCAGCAGCACGGATCAGTAACACACCGAGACAAGATGTTGCAGATTCCTAGCAATGGGGAGCTCTGCAAAACCTCACAATCAAGTCATGCAGGAACAAGAAGTGGAAGAATCATACAATTTTATTAGCCAAATCCAAATACGGAGCAGCCCACTCTGCACTAGCACACTCAAGAGACCAAACCATTCCTCCTGCAGAATTCCCTCACACCCCAAGAGTGACAATCACAGTGCTCTTTTCCCCACCCAGGTCGCACACATTCATGGCAGTAAATGTCCATTTCTAGGTGCTCTGTGGTGGCACTCACCTTGTCTTCATATGGCTTCATGTGTTCCTACCATCACAGGGACTGAAAATTCACTGTTCTACCACAGGGTCCCTGCCCCAAGAGGTGAAGGCCTCGAGACTGGAGGCTGAAGGTTCTATAAACCTTCAAGAACCTCACGGTGAAGAAATAGGCCATGGTGAATTTGTGTTTATCAGAGAGCTACCACCCTTCCATCAAGCCAATAGCCGGCGTGTATCAATGAATTCCCAACTCATGCAGCCATACAGCTCAGAGTAGGCACAAGAGTTGCCTGATGGGCAGGGCGTAAGATGATTGTCTCTTTCAGTTGGGATGAAGGGTTTAAAAATATTCTGAAGATTTAATTTCTCTTCGAAGCTTATGCTGCTCCTTGAGATAACCGGATTAATGACTAGTATCGGCTTGCCTCAAGGTAGTATTGGGTGATTTGGAAGGTCTCCAGTGGGCCAGACTCGCTCATCTGGCTGTACTAGTCCCGTCTTCCCTTCAGACATACCAGTATCCTCAGCATCCATTGGCATTGGCTGCTCAGTGATTTCTGGTTCCACATTCCTCCCTTTCTTCAAAGAGTTCTGTCTCTTCCCAGATACAGATTGCTTCTTTTTGTTCTTAATCAAGATTTTCCCTAAGAGATCCTTAGGACTTGGCAAAGGAACTCCTGGCTTCAGCTGCAACAGATAAACTTCATCGTGAATATTCATCACAAAGACAGAATTCAAACACTCGTCTCTCCTGTCCCTCCCAGTACCATTCCCCTGGCCATTTACTGGAGCGTGGACACATCTCTCTCCCACTATATTCCTTAATTTCTCCATCTGCCAGCGTTCCCCACTATATCTATGGCATTATTTTTTTCCTAAGCCTTCACCTTTGGTTTCAGACCAGCATTTTGCACCTCTCGGCCCTCTCATGTTCTGCTGCCTGCACATGCCACGCTGTTCCCAGCCACCCAGCTAAAAAACCATCTCCATGGCCTGAAGGCACCCACACACCTCTGGCTTTCACATCCCACCTTCTTCTCTCATTACCCCAAGGCTCAGTCCTGGAGCAGCACTCAGGCCTTATTTAAACACTCTGCCTGCAGCAGATTTGAGAGAAAGATCCCAGAGTAGGTGGCTCGAGCCAGGGATGTGTGACTCAGATGCTTCCCAGCCTACACTCCCTGTACAGATAGCAACAGTCCTATTAATAATTTAGCTAATACCCCCCACTGTTTCTCCTCACACACATCCTCCTATTTCTCCCCACTGCCTGGACAAAGACACAGGTCTGGAGAGTGGACAATTGCCAACTTGCTCACTGCTTCCTTTCAGCTCTTCTTTTCATCTTAGTGCTTGAAAAGAGATGTTTGAACGGTGTGTCTCAGTGCCCCCCCTACTACATATCCCAAGGAACTGCCCAATGCTTTGCAGAACACAGGCACTGCCCATTCTTTGTAAATCTGTGTCCCTTCCCAAGGCAGCTGAAGTAGCAGCGTGGATGGGGATCACCAAAGATGTCACCGTGTCCACAAAACAAAGCAGCTGTTGATTAGGGACAGGCAGATCAGAGCTTCACTCAGCTACTCTCGAGCACAGAGCCGTGCTTGTCACTGACCTGGAGGGAGTGTTTCCAGGTTGGTAACAGGAATTGAGAAGCACTGGTAGGAAGAGCCTGAAATGCTACTAAGCCCTTGTTCCTGTTTTTTTCCCAAACAAATGCTGGCAAACAGATTTGAAACAGTTCTGTGTATAGAAATACACTGACTCATCTTGGTACCACTGGTCCAGCTTGGTTACCCAGGGCTCAGTTTCCAGAGTCACTCAAGTCACAGAGTGGTAAATAAGAACAGAGTCAGGGAAGTGCTCAGGAAAACCTCTGAGACTGAGAGGTCTTCCCTCCACTTACAGCGTTGCTCACTTGTCCACGGCATCACCTTCTCTTTCACTGCCCTTATATCTGTTGTGGCATCTCCTGGCACCAGGAGTGACTGTTTTTTTTCAGAAAGACCTCTCCACCAACCTCCTCTCCCAGCTTCCACTTACTGGGTATTTTTCCAGTGGCTCTGTCAGCAGCATATCCCCAAAAATGGTTCGGCAGTACTCGGCCATCTTCGCCTGCTGCTTGGGCCTAAGGAACAAAGAGATGAAGCAGCAATGAACAGGAAAACAGATGCCAAATCCAGAGCTGAGCATAAACAACCATCACGAGATCCATGTGCTCTACCCAGAAAACCACCTTTGCCTTCACTCAGACAGCTATGTAGATCTTGAATCACAGGGTCACGGAATGGTTCAGGTTGGAAGGGACCTTAAAGCCCCCCCAGTCCCACTCCCTCCAGACCACACTTCCCACCACACCAAGCTCCAAGCCCTGTCCAACCTGGCCTTGAACCCCTCCAGGGATGGGGTAGCCACAGCTTCTCTGGGCAACCCAGATCTCAGTTCAATCTCCCCTCTTTCAGTGCTAAACCCTTTCCCCTCATCCTATGGCTCCCCTCCCTGATCAAGAGTCCCCCCCCAGGTTTCCTGTAGGTCCCCCTCAGGTACTGGACTTGAAGTCCCTTCTCAGGCCAACTCCCGTTTGTTCATACTCTGCCATCTCCAGCTAAAAGGCTGCACAACTGTGGTCACTCTCACTCTGTAGTCACTCTTATGGCTCATCTTTCAGCTCTGACCCACCTTCGGTTGCTTCAGAAATCTCAGTGGATGTTTCATTTCAGCTCAGGCCCTCACTGAGAACCCAGCAGCCCTTTTCCACACACTCTCTGCTCTGGACAACAGAGAACACAGTTGTCCCACATCTGGTCCCCGTCACCAGATACTCACGAGTCCACGTGGTTCTCAAAGGACAGGATGACAGGGTAGAGAGATGTTTTAAAAGCACTTTCTGCAATGGCCTCAATGGCATCCTAAAGGAGAAGCAACGTCAGAGAAAAGATTAGCATTCATTAATAGGAGCCATGCAGCTGATCTCCCACTGAACGGGCCCCCAAGATTCAGGTCTCAAAAATTATCATTGGCAGGGGCTTCTCTTTAAAGTAACTAATCTTCTCCCAGTCAGGAGGTGAGAAGCATCTTCTTTTTCATACCCGCCCAGATTTCCAGCTCCAGAGGATACAACGTGCAGCTAAACTTAATAGCTTGTGTACAAGAAAAGAATCTGAAGATGTAAGAGTATGAGCTTTTATTTTTCTTACACAGTTTAGCGTATACAGAAATGACTGTGCAATCACCTGGCCACACAGGCATGGCACTGCCACACACATTTTGAATTGGTAGAGAAAGCTGTATGCAGCACCAGATGAAACTGCTTCAAACTCTATTTATACTTCCCTCTGAACCTGTCTGATTTTCTACCATTTCACCTGCTTATAAATCCCTTCTGTCTAGCAGCAAACCGGAATGTTCAGCAACCAGCAGTGCTGACATTTCAAATGCAAATACCATGGAAACCTTCTCAGCATTAATGATATAAGAAAAAAAAAAATATCCTATTTTCCCCAAGCTCCTGTTAAACTGCCACAAACTTTCCACGATTTTATTTTCTGGTGCTGCTAATTGACAGGGTAAAGAAGTGTCATTTGCTCCTCTGCAATTACAGTCCCCTACTCCCCCCAAAATCCATGGTTCCATCCATGATCTTAGCCCGGAGGCTGCCACGGCTGCTCCTCCATGGACCGCTTGGACTTTGCTGAAATCTGCAAGGTTCAGAGGAGGGGAAGCTACAGAAAAAACTACTAAAAGGCCCCAGGCAATGGTGAAAAGGGAGAGAGGTGGAGAGGGAAAGATCTACATATTATGTAAAACTAAAACTCGGGCACATGCTGCGTTAACAGGTTATAATTTCCTTGAGGTACAGTCTCATGCTTTAGCAGAACTCTGCAATTACAGCGGCTACAGCTGTCATTATTTCTCCTGTTTTAGGGAACTGCTGTGCAGAAAGCAGCAGTAGTACTACAGGCTGCGGGAAATTACTGACACTGAGCATGACTATATCTCTGATCTTAAGGATTGGGTTTTTTTTTCCCCCCACATAAATATTTTAGTAGTAGTGAACTGGGGAAAATACATGGAATAAGAATAAATAGCTTTAAAAATAATCTAAAGTGCCTCTGCCTGTTGATAGCAGCTGTGCAAAGGAGTGCAGAAAAAATAAGTGTGATGCACTGATTTTTAACCTGCAAGCTCTTTGTAGCTGCTGTGGTTAAATGCCCTCTATTTCCAAGGGAGAAGCAGGCTTTGTGCTGTGCTTCTGAGTCCCGGGAGCCCAGTGCTCAGGGACACCATCCGCCCAGCACACCAGAGGGCAGCTGTAATTAGGAAGTAATTGAAACCTATTCCTCCAAAGCACCACCACGTGAGGCTGAGAGCCACAGAAACCTGCTGCAGCCCAGGGAGAAGATAAACTCATTTTAACCTTTTGTTGCCTAAAAGCCACCTTGTTTGTTTCTCTGATGTATGACGTACAACTATCCATACATTCACAGAATCCCACAATGATATGGGGCTGGAAGGGACCTCTGGAGATCATCTCCTCCAGCCCCCTGCCAAAACAGGTCCACCCGGAGCAGGTCCCACAGGAACGTGTCCAGGGGCGTTTGAATGTCTCCAGAGAAGGAGACTCCACCACCTCTCTGGGCAGCTTCTTCCAGGGCTCTGCCACCCTCAAAGTGAAGAAGTTCCTCCTCATGTTTAGGTGGAACTTCTTACATTCAAGTTTGTGCCCATTTCCTCTTGTCCTGTCCCTGGGCACCACTGGAAAAAGCCTGGCCCCATCCTCCTGACACTCACCCTTTCAGTATTTATAGGTGTTGATCAGATCCCCCCTCAGCCTTCTCTTCTCCAGAGAGAGACCCAAGTCCCTCAGCCTCTCCTCATCAGAGAGATGCTCCAGGCCCCTCATCATCTTTGTAGCCCTCTGCTGTCCCCTCTCCAGCAGTTCCCTGTCCTTCTGGAACTGGGGAGCCCAGAACTGGTCCCAGTGCTCCAGATGGGGCCTCCCAGGGCAGAGCAGAGGGGCAGGATGACCTCCCTCCACCTGCTGGTCACACTCTTCCTGATGCCCCCCAGGATGCCCTTGGCCTTCTTGGCCACAAGGGCCCATTGCTGGCTCCTGGGCATCCTGTTGTCCACCAGGACTACCAGGTCTTTCTCCTCAGAGCTGCTCTCCAGCAGGTCACCCCCAACCTGTCCCGGTGCAGGGGGTTATTCCTCCCCAGGTGCAGCACCCTACAATCGCCCTCGTTGAATGTCATCAGGTTCCTCTCTGCCCAGCTCTCCAAGTCTCTCTGTGTGGCAGCACAGCCTTCTGGTGTGTCAGCCACCCCTCCCAGTTCTGTGTCATCAGCAAAATCCACCATCCTTGTGCAACCTTCTGTTCATACATCCATCTTGCTACACAGCCCATCGCTCCTACCCCCGCATTTCCCTCATTCATTCATCTTCACCCAGCCAACAACCTCTCTCCAGGTCCTCCCACTCCACAAATGTACACAAACTCCAACCTATTGCCTATTTGCTCATCTTTCCTTCTATCCACACATTCATTCACTTGTCATCTTGCCATCAATCTTTTCCTCTCAAACACCCCTGCCCTTGGCCCATCCATCTGACAGCTCCCTCCTCAGAGATGAGTCTAAATCCAAGCAGGGGAAAGCGCGTACGGAGAAAACTCTTTCAGTACCTTGAAGAGGATCTCGGTTGTCATGGTGAAGCCGTGAGTGATGATGGGCTCCTCATCCGGGGGCCGGCCCTTCCAGCAGTCCAGCTCCACGCAGCGGCAGCCGGCCAGCAGCGTCTGGCGATACATTTCAGGAGAGGAGATGCCAGAGAACTGCCCCGCTGGAGGAGAGCAGAGGCTCCGCGTTAGCTCTTGGCGTGGGACAGTTTCCGCACAAACGGGAGCAACACAACTCTCTGCCACCCTCGAGCAGGTGTAGGTGGCAGGCTGGCAAGATGTTTTCCGTCACAGGGTGACATTTTTTCTTGACTCATTTAAGTGCCAAGCCCCTCAGAGCGCATTGGAGCCCTCAGCCCTCCAAACGTGAGGGCAGATACATCCACCCAACCGATTCTTCAGGTTGTTCAGCCTGAAGAAGAGGAGGCTCCGGGGAGACCTAATAGCAGCCTTCCAGTACCTGAAGGGAGCCTACAGGAAGGCTGGGGAGAACCTGTTTAGAAAGGCCTGCAGTGACAGGACGAGGGGCAATGGCTTCAAGCTGGAGGGGAACAGATTTAGACTGGAGATGAGGAGAGGGTTCTTCACTGGGAGGGTGGTGGAGCACTGGAACAGGTTGCCCAGGGAGGTGGTCAAGGCCCCTTCCCTGGAGATATTCAAGAAGAGTCTTGACGAGGCCCTGGGCAACCCGGTCTAGTTGGGGGTGTCCCTGCTGACTGCGGGGAGGTTGGACTAGATGACCTTTGGAGGTCCCTTCCAACCTGGACAATTCTATGATTCTATGATTGCCAGCCTCACTCATCCCCCCCCCGGGTGGTAGGACATCCGTGTTGGAGCGGAGGCAGACTCTGGAATTGCCCATTACCTGTTAAATACGTGTTGTGTGATGAGTTGATGAAGTAGTGTGAGAGCGGCTGGGTCATGTCCTGGTACAGCATCAATTTGTCCAGTGCTATCACATTGTTCTCAGGGCCACAGAGGAACCAGACCATCCCCTCTGGAGACAACTGCCCTATACGGAAAACAAAGCTGTTAATTGTACCAAAACCAAACTGTTCTGGTACCTCCTTGGTGGTGCACTGCAACACAGTGAGAGCTGCTTAGCACAATTGCTCCCCTGGGAAGGTCAGGGTAGCAGAAGGTGCCAGACCCCCTGCTATTTTCATGCTACCTCTCCAGCAAGCCTTTGGGGCTGAACAAGACTCACCTCTCTGGATGTTAATCCCGCTGGGCTCATACTTCTCTATCAGGCTCTGCACCTGCTCAGGTTTGGCTGGTGGGAAAAGGATGTCGTTGAGGCGTGAGTCTCGCTGCTTCTTGTTGATAAACTTTGCCAAGTGCTCCTTGGTCATGTAGGGCTTTGCTTTTAAATGGCTGAGGTGAAAATTACAGAGGAGCAGAGGTAAGGCCTTGTGCATTCCCCGGAAAACCTTTTCACAAGAGTGAGATTGGTCCTTCCTCAGGTTAGCAATGGGTGTCCACCTCTCTGGGCCCATCTCTGTTTTTCCTACGTTTCTTCCTGTAAACAACACCTCCCACTGTGACCTTTCTTCTTCCCAACTAACTCAGAACCATGAAGAGGTTGTGCCGAGGGGAGCACAATGCGTATTTTGAGCCTCTGACTTGAACTCTGAAGGGACCTGAATTTCAGAGCACACAATTGCTCGCCCCGTGAAATCAAGTCCATTTACGAAATCACAGATTCAGCTACTAGAGAAAAAAGTCACTGGCTGATGGGGAGGATGACCTTATTTTTCAGCCCTCAAGGATGGTTCTCACGCGGTACATGGCCTAGCCACAAGCAGTATCACGTTAGCACGATCTGGTGTTGAGCTGGAACCCACCTTCCTGATGGGGACAGTTAAAGAGTCCCTGCAGTGAGGCCTCATCCTTTTTATTCAGGCTTGAGTGAAAGTGTACAGTACACTGGCAATGTTTTCTGACCTGGGTTCTTGCCCATTAAGGTTTGAGATCAGACAAACCCTGCAGCATAGAAGCCCCTTGCCTCTCCTTTTTGCCTGTCTTTTGCCAGAGGAGATCAAGTTCTGTGCTGTGGCTTGAGGGGAACTTACTGTGAGGTAAAGATCTCATCGATCTCAGGCCGCGGGCACAGATTCATGAGGAAAGTTTTATACACGGTCTCAGGGAAGTCCTCTGGGTTGATGGCGTCATTCTGAGAATGCAAGAAGGTCATGTCAGTATCACAAACCTGTGATGGCTTTCACTTCTCCACTAAAAAGCGACTGGAACACTGGCAAGGTGCTCAGGGAATAAGAGATGAAGAAGAAGCACATAATGCCCTATTTCACTGAATTTCACTGAATTTCTAGAGTTGGAAGGGACCATAGAGATCATCTAGTCCAACTCCCCTGCTGAAGCAGGATTGCCTAGAGCTAGAGCATGTTACTCAGGAGCGCATCCAGGCGGGTCTTGAAAATCTCCAAGGAAGGGGACTCCACAACCTCCCTGGGCAGCCTGTTCCAGGGCTCTGTCACCCTCACCGTGAAGAAGTTTCTCCTCATATTTGAGTGGAAGTTATTTAATCTGTCCCTCGGTGATGCTTGTGTGATGATGGCATAAAGCTAGAGGTTGACACAGTGGTAGGAACTGTTAGAGGCCTGGATTGCACTCTCTGGGCTGGTAGAAGCACCAAGAACAAGCATCAGATCTGTTGTTTCAAAGAGCAGACAGTGGAACAGGAGAAGGGAAGGTGCTGCTTCCCGTGCCACCCAGTGCAAGTGGTGGAGTCACAAGCCTTTGCACTACAAGCAGTAAGAACTGATCCGAGCAGGCTGCAGCTAAGGCATGGCAGCAAGAGGTGAGAAAAGGTTCCACAGCAACTAGAGGCAACTGGGCTGATGATTTTTTCACAGCCAAGAGCATCAGCAATAAAAAGATTATTCTCAAACTTGGGAGACCTTCGGCTACGTAGTGAAACCCTTACCTTGCCCTTTGGAAGATGACAAGCACTCAGTGCTGCTTCCACCCTCTTCCTGTCAGCAGGAAACATCTGAAAAATACTGAGCAGACAGGGAAAGAAGGAATCACCACGATGCAGCAGGAGTGAGGTCTGACAGCCTGGGTTTGGGAGGCTGGGACCTGCAGCCAGAGTGCAGGACGCTCAAAACGCTCAGCGAAGGAGCCTGACAAGACTGTAAACATGAGCCAGAGAAGAAAGACTGTTTCTCCAAGGGAGTAACTCATGTACCGAGTCTTACTAACCTACAGTGGATTTTGTGACTGCTTTTACTGCCTTACTACAGAAGTTGTGTATTTCTGCTATGGACTCTAAAAACCCTGTCCCTAACTCCAAATCCCTCCTCACTGTCCTGCCCCTGCCCCTCTTGCGGTAGCAGCCTCGTGCCACGAATTCCCCAGGACACTCACCCCCCCCCAGGATGCTATTCCCTGTGGAAGCTGGCATTAGCGAGGAATAACTTTGTAGTCAAGACAACATTCGAAAAAAGCAAACAAACATTGTGCACATTCGCTGCTTTGTAAGAGTTTTCTGGAACCAAAGGCTTTCCACGAATTCAAGGAACAAACTCATTACACGGCACAGCAGCTGGCAGGCTACACGGTGGGAGCACACGAGTCTGCTGCTGCAGAAACCAAAGCTGCAGTTTAGGAAGCTGGGTACTGTTCTGCAGGGCAGAACCCCCTGGGTCAAGCCTTCAGCTTAAAGCAGCCTCTTTGCTGCCCTATGGAATAGCAACGAGAGCAGACCCCCCCTACTTTGAGAACACCCCAGCCAGCAGCAGCGAGGTCTCCTCCCCGGGTAAATTCAGGTGGCAGCTCTACTGAGCTCCTGGCACCACAGGTGGTGGTGGCCAGAAAGGGGAAGGAGAAGGGCCCGGTGGGTTGGCAGGGGGGGCAGCGCCGGGGGGAGCTGCACAGCACGACATGCAAACTCCCTGCGCTGCCTCCCCGGCTGCCCTTTGCAAGGCAAAAACTGCAGCGCCCTCGGGACGATTCAAAAGGGGATTTAAATGTCTAAGGAGAAAGCAGATGCTCAGTGGAATTTTCAGAAGAATTCAGACATGGAGTTTTTAAAGCCTTACATATGCCTGCACCTGGAGATGCTGAATAATTTTATAAATCTGGCTCTTAATCTGGACTATTTAATAGCGTAATGCTTTACACAGTAAAGCATTTTTAGCACTCCACAAGACAGGCCAGGGCATTGAGAAGAGGTACAGCCTGTACCAGATATTTTTTCTAGCTTATTTCAGAAGAATAAGCTGTTTTCTCTCTGCACTAACGCTACCTTGCTTGCATTTTAAAGATCAATTTAAAGCACTCTTCCCTAGTGTGAGTTATTCATTAAAGACCTATACATTTTTAAAAGCCCTTTGACGAATACACTGGTTTCTAACAGAATGAAATTCTGCTGGTTGGTGGTTTAGAAAACAAACAACAAAAAATGTTTATTGTCGAATAATGATCAACCATCCGGGAGCCCATTTAGCCAGCACAGACTTAATCTACAATCGTTATGGAATGTAACAGGCAGTAGGCAGTGTATTTATTACAGGTGATTAGCACTTGCCTAACACAGCACAAACCCAGAGGCAGAGGGGTCCAAAACCTCCCAGGGAATACCCACAAACGAACTACCTGCAGGTCCTTATCCTTAACACAAATTATGCACCCAAAAGGGAATTCAATGTGGCAGTGCTCTGACCAAGCACCCAATAAACCAAACCCCGTACTCACTTCCTGACAGGGATCTTTCCCTCTGCATTAAGCTGCATCTTCAGCTTCACCAGGCTGTGGAAAAAAAAAAACCACACAAGATTATGAAAATGCACTTGTACAATCTTAAAGGTCCTATTAAGTAAGGAAAAAGAAAAAAATATGCAATTGGGAAAACAATCTAACAGTTAACTGAAAATCAGGGTCCTACAGACCATCAGCTTAACCTCAGACAGAACCTGTTCCTGTTTCTTTGGAAGGAGAAGCAGGCAAGTTGTAAGAGCTTAAATATCAGAAAGATTCCACTGACATATAAGATCCAGATATGAGATAACGGTATCTCCTATCATTTATCACTCCTGAGCGATCCCAGGCTGCCAAGCAGACAATATCACAGAGCAAAGGGAAAGAGGCAGGACTTGGTTGGGGGGAGTTCTGTGACTGTGGTGGGGGACACAGCTGAGGCTCAGAATTTCAGTTTGTGCAATCCCACCTGTGTGTCTGACCAGCTCAAGTACTTCTGTGCCAGTCGGTTGTCACACAACATATGGCCTGACCACCAACCCCCTGCCCGTGCCCTGGGGCTCCCGAGCTGACACAGGACTTGTCTGGAGGCTGCCAAAGGACCTGGATGCTAAGAAGCCTTTTTGTTCTAGTACGGACAGAAAGGGCAGCACAGGAACGTTTCAAAGAACAACTTTTGTCAGAAATGACTTACATTTTCTCTAGGAAGGTGTATCGAGAAGCGTTGTAGGTGAGAGGATTCCGAACGATGGCCATGATATCCTCGGCCCAGCTCTGGGAACAAATGCACACACAAGGCAGAGGCAGTTGGGATTTATGGAACTGCACCAAGAAGTGCACAGCAACAGACACGGAAAGGGCATGGAACCATGGAATGGTTTGGGTTGGAAGGGACCTTAAAGCCCCCCCAGCCCCACCCCCTGCCCTGGGCAGGGACACCTCCCACCAGACCAGGTTGCTCCAAGCCCCCTCCAACCTGGCCTTGAACCCCTCCAGGGATGGGGCAGCCACAGCTTCTCTGGGCAACCTGGGCCAGGCTCTCACCACCCTCACACCAAACAAGTTCTTCCCCAGATCCACTCTAATTCTACCCCTTTTCAGTTTAAAAGTGTCACCCCTTGTCCTGTCACCACAGGACGTGGTGAAAATACCTGTTCTGATACTCTTAGGCTTCAAATCCCAACAACTGTGCCCTCAGGACTCAGTACCTTGCCAACATTCTCCTTATAGGAAACAAAGTTATGGAAAGTGAGGTCCACCATGTCAGGGCCAGACACAATAGTCAGAGTCTTCAGCAGGAAGGTGCTGTGAGGATAATCCAAGTTAAAAACCTCTCGGAGCTTCTGGCACTGCAAAAGAAACACAACAGATGGGGATAAGGGAGAATGAGGCAAACTGCACCTCAAAAAAAAACCAGAACCCAATCCAAACATTGACCCAAATTCACAGCAAGCTCTGCAAGGGTTCCAAAATTGTTTAATGTGATCCTCCTTTCCTTGGCTTTCCTTATTTTTCGTCTTTATTCTGGAGCCTGCATTACCCGGATCCTCCATGGAACAAGACATTGTGACTAACATCACTGCACAAACATGCTGGTTTGGTCTGAAAAAGTAAAAGTTGGGGACTGCTTGTAAAGAAGTTCCTTCTGAACCTTCAGCCTGAACTTGCAGACAAGCAGGTAAGGATTTGCCCTGCTCGTACCAGAGGTGCGTGACCAGGTTATTGCAGCCATCGGTTGTCAAACCACACACTAAGAAGGTCTTTCAGATTAGTGTGATACCTTTTGCTATAACCAGCCTCCTCCACAAGATGTTGCTTAGGGCCCAGGAGGTCTACCAGCCTCCAACCCCGTTACTGGAGGGATGGGCTCTCTCCATCCAAGTCCCATTTTCTGCCAGTTGTCAATTGCTAGAAGTGGTTTTTTCCACAGCAATTGCAGTATCCTACAGCGATGGCTCACCAGAGATTTGTTTTGTTAAGTATAAGGCTCATCTGATTAGTCATGCTTGGATTTCATCACCATATGAAAGTATTTATAGAGTCTCTTTAAATTATTTAGCATTTTCTGCATTCCTACGTAAGGCGTCACTAAGCCAAGGTATCCTGGAGTTGGACTGACAGTCACTATTTATAATGTGAGGATAAAATCCCCACGTCCTAGAATAAAGTGCAGCAATTCATTATCCAAAGCACAGGATAAACTCCTACCAAAGCAAAGAGGGAGGCTGGGATTGTTAGTGGAGCAGCTCAGACTCAGAATTTAACCGGAGCTGGAATCTGAGCTCTCGCTGTAGGCACAAACCTGTGGTTTGAGACATGGCTGAGTTACTGCTTTTCAACAAGTTAAAATGTGGGTAACACCGTAACACATTAGAAATCACATTAACTTCAGCAAAAAAGATTTTAACTAAGTTACCTTCGTGTTTGCTATAAACTCAGAGCACAGAGTCAGTCACTGCAGTTCAGCTCACGTTTAGTGGCTTGTTCAGGCGCTACTAACTGCTGAGGGAAGCAAACTCCCTGATCTTGGACTTCCAGGGATCTCAATTTAGCCCAAACCAACCAAAAACCCCTCCAGGCAACCAGCTGTCTGCATCCCATAGTGATTCAAATGGAAGCACTTCCATTTCTGCTGCACAATTGTCTCTACATTTGGGCTGTAAGGGCAGAAGCTCAGGAGCAGCCCAGGCTGGGGCACTCCCACGTGCCCACACCGCGTCGCACGCTGAGCTGCACACACATTTTATATGGAGGTCTGCAGACTTTTTCCCACTGCATTTTTTTTCCAAATATCTGGAGCATTATCAATTTTACCCCATCTGTAGCAAACAGGCACCTTTAGGAAAAACAGGATGGGCTGGATTCTAACTCAAGATGATCTGACTGCTGGCTCTCACTTCATAAAGGCAACCCTCTGCAGAGGTAGCTCTGGGACCTGTACAATCCAAGAGCATCTGGAGGGAAAGGAGGAGGAAAGCAGTCAGCCACCCATGAGATTTGCCTGTTTTCTAAGAAGGAATTTCTAAAATGCCTCATTTTTGTTTTTTAAGCAGTTTTCTTCCGCAGAGGTGAGCAGCACCCCCCTCTCCACACCTCCTTTCCCTGCTCACAGCGACTTCTTGATGGAGTTTAACTGTTCATTGCAAGTGGCGAAGTGTTAGGATTTTAACTTCAAATTTAACTTCATCTGGCAAACCCTCTGGCGTTCGTTCAGCTTCCTTACCTCTGGTGTTGTAAATTGTATGAAGCTAAGACAATAGAGAACTTGTGGTTTATGCTGAACTCATTTCCTGTATTTGTTACCGAGCGGCTCCTCCCAGCTCTTCCTTCTCTACAAACTGGTGTCTCTTGGCTCTCCAGAAGCTGCTTCTCTTCTAGCTGTGTCCCCAGCAAGCTCCATGCTCCACCAGAGCTTCTGCCTCCACCCTGCAGGGCTCCTCGGGGCAAAGCTGGCCCACGCAGCGGGTGGCCATGGCCTGCTCTCTGATCACCTCCAAAGCTGTTCACAGTCAGCCTTACCCTCTTTACGTGCCATGCCCTTTATCTGCATTAACCCACGGCACCTCCCAACACCTCGGCGAAGTTGAGAACTTCGTTTTATGAGATGCAAACTGCAGCGGGAGAGGAAAGGATGATCTTGTCAGGGGGCTAAATTGGGTCATAACATCCCAGCGACTGACTTCCTGCCCGGCCGTGAGTCACTCGCTCACTCTGTGCTGCCTGGGCCCGGGGATCATCTCCCACGCGGGACCAACGCGGTGGTTTTGGCACCACACTGAATGAAGATGCTCAGAGAAGACCAGAGACTGTGTCCGAGGGCACAGAACCTGATGCCATGGCTCCTTTCTAACCTGTTCTCCTTCAGCACCTCGTGCTGCAGCTTCACCACACAATTACTTAGTGCAACGTTCCAGGTGGCCACAGAGGAAAAATAGGACTTGCTACATGAAAAGCAGGACAAGCACATTAGCCATGCAAATCAGAGAAGGGAAACACGCTTAGGAAATCCACTTTAAAAACCCCAAACAAACAGAAAACAACCGACTGGCAGAGTGGCTGAAATAGAGATTCAGCTCCCATTTCACTTCCCACCCTCCCATTTCCCTAAAATCCTCCTCTGTGCAAACCAGATTCATAGTCCAGAGAAAAGCAAATTCTCATGCAAATATAAGCAAAGAGCCAGGCCTAGGGCAGGAGACGGAGACAGTCCCTTCTCCACGTGAAACGGGACAGGGCCCAGTGACAGCCAGGATTGCCCACAGCTGCACACACTCCACACCAACAACTCCGACCTTCCCGAAACACGGAACGTGATGCTTGTGGCATTAGAAGAGAGGACTCAACAACAAGTCTTCTCTTTTGGAGAAGAACCATCTTGTTTGGTCGTGAGAAGGGAAAGGGAGCACCAGAGATGATTCAAATGCCTTTGGCTCACTCCTGCCCTGAGTAGTGGCACCGCTCCAGCGTGGGATCGGGAAGGAGAGGGGTGGCAGTGGAGGGGGGCTGACGGGGGGCTGTCCTGTCTGTCCTATCACCACCTGCACCCCAGGGCCAGCCCATCTCTGCTCCCAGCATCGCAGCGAGACAAAGCAGAAAAAAAATCAGCAGATGAAGCACTCTCAGCTCTCCTTGCTGCCTTATCTAAAGGAAGCGGAACAGGCAGCAGCACACAGATTCTCATGGCACAAAATAACCCATGGCAATCTGGAATGGAGCAGGAACAGACCAGGAGGGAGAGGTGCAGACTGTGCACCCCCAGCAACTTCCGTGGCCTAAGAGCTCACGCTGCAGAAAGATGGAAGAGGCAGAAGAAGAGCCCAGCACGGCAAAAAGCCATTACTGAGACGTGACCATTTCCTCGCTGGGCCCCCACTCCACTATTTATAAATCCTTCGCAAGCCACAGACTTCTACCCGCTTTCCTCTTGCACACACACACACCCCAGTTTGTCTCCACGCTTTTTTATTTGGAGGCCTGAACATCAGACTTTGGTGAGTCCCACCATGTGCTGGCGCCGAATCAGCGCAGCCCTGGGAGAATGCTGAACCCCCCGAGCTGCCTCCCCCCGCCACGCAGCGTGTTCACAGCCCCCAGCTCAGCCTCCCCTCAGCCCCGAGCACAGGGTGAGTGTTCCCTGCACTGGCAGGTCCTCATTCCTACTTTATCAGCTCAAAATTTGACCTGTGAAATACCTTGGTGTGGTTTTCTCCCTTGCACACGTTCAGTTCAGAGTCTGCATCTCCGGGTTCAATAACACCAAAATGAGTACGGAAGATGAAACCGTTTTATAATCACGACAGACAGAAAATACAACTTCTGTTTTTATGAAAAATGATGCTTGCTTCCAAGCCAATGCCTGCTGAAATGTCTAAACAAAATGCAAGATGAAGCCAACAGCCCAGCAGTCTGGCGTAAAACACCATGTATTTTGGTCCTAATTATCACACCCTCTGTCAGCGTTCTGGGGTCCTGGGGCATCAGGAAAAATATAAAATGGAGCAGTCGTTATTGTTCCTTGTTACTCAAAGGAAAACACAGAATTGCATTGTAAATAACATCTTGATCTGCTTCGGCACGCTGCTCAACTACATTCAATAGCTTTTTATCTTGTCTTCTTTATGTTCAAAGTCCCTGCTAATTCTTATCTTTATTACTCTTGAACACCCGCCAAAGTTCATTCTGCCCTGTCTCTCAAAAAAAACATTTCCATCGGGAAAAAACCACTGCAGAACACTGAGTAGCTCTCAAAGAAAATACAGCCAAGGAGGAGAGAAGGGGAAACCTGCACGTGGATGGGAGCAGTCCCGGGAGGACCCGAGGGCTGCGTGCGGGCTCCGAGCGGGGCAGAAGAGAGAGGAGAATAATTCTCAAGAGAGAGCAGGGCTGTCTCTTGCCTTCAGCCAGCTTCACTCCAGGAATCCTTCCTTGTGGGGCAAACAGCACCCTTCTCATTGGGGGATGGCTTGTATTGAACCCTTAGTGACTCGTCCCTTTCTCGTGGCCCTATTGAACCCTTAGTGACTCGTCCCTTTCTCGATGCCACCCTCACTGCGCTGGGCACTCCAGGCTCACTGTCTACTCCCTAAACATCCTGCGGGGTCAGGAAGGGGGTCCCACCAGCCCCTGCCCCCCAGTTTGCAGGGACAATGCCGTGACCCGCACTGGCGAGGCAGTGCGTAGGACAGCAGGGCTTTCCAGCAGTGGTTTATCTGCATGGGCGCTCTGGGGTTATTCTTCTTGTGGTGCACAGAGCGGTTACAAGGAAAAACCCCAAACCTCTTGCCTAACAGCCAAGGGAAAGTGTCACTGAGAGCAGTAACTCCTGACACCCACAGCACAACCACCCGCTGGCAGCGAGACTCCTTCCCCCGCGCCGCTCTGAACCGCTCAGGGCACGTCCCACTCTCAGCCATTCCAAGCCATTACATTTTTAAGAGGGGAGACACCCCCTTTGTCATCCTTCTGCCCTTCACCTCAAACACATCTTTGCTTTGTCACACCAGTTTTTCATCTTTATACCTTCTTGTAACGACGCACCAGATGTAGCTGTAGGGAGGGGGTGGGGATTCCTGTCCAGAATTTCTCACTGCTTTCTGCATTCCTTTGAGCAAATTCTGTTCTTGGAAAAGCCAAGTGAGTACACAACACAGGGCTTTCAGCAAGTGCTGCAGGAGCATCGGGGACAATACAGCCATGTGTAAATAAGAAATTCCCAGGTCTGGACACCATCTCTCCTACCGTATTGGTTCAATGGCCATTTCAGTGCCCACACGAGACCTCCCATCATCCCATAAGAGAAAGGTGGACAAGGAGCCATCCTAGTGCATTTTACTCTGTGTTGGCATAGAAATGCTAGAAGATTCCCCGAAATAAAAAGGGGACTTCTATTAAATGGGTCTCTGTGAAATGCAGAATTCAAAAGGCACAGCAGAGGTTGTCATCAAGCGCATCACATCTGCCTGTTGAGAATACTTAATAAATCACTTGGTGCTTGGCCTTTGTTGGTAAAAAATGAGCTGTAGCCAATTCCCAGGATACTAAAATCCTGTCTCTGGCCCATGACAATGGCTGGAATAGAGCAGCTACGCCAGGTCGGAGCACAGATCCCTCCAGATGCCTGGGGAGAAGAACAGGGCAAACGCAATGGTACTTCCCTGACACATTTCTGCAGCTCCCAGCGATTTATGATTCAGCAACTTCCTAAACCAGAGGCTTTATCTGGCATTTAATAACCTTCAAAGGGCATTTCCTTCTTGTCCTGACTTTTCAAATGGGGGAAGGCATCCCCCAGCGCGGCGACATGACACGTAAACCAGCAGCACCTCCTTCTGCTTGTGCTGAACCTGCCTTTGGAAAATTCCACTGCACGTGGAGGGCTCACGCTGGAAGAAACCCTGAGCAACCGCTTCGTGCTCACTTTCTCCGTCCAGCTCCCGATGCCACCACACTCCACCACACTCCTCCGCATCCCCCTCAACTTTTTTTTTTTTTTGGCCAGACTACAGTCCCTGCCCACTCAGATGTTCCTCGCACAGCAGCCATTTCATTCTTTTATCAATCTTGCTGCTCTCCTCTGCCTTTTTACAGTTCTTTGTCTCACTGGAGATGAAGACTAGACATGCCCAGGAATATGCATGCATTCAGGGTGTCCACAGTGGCATGATCTCCTCATTCTTTCCTTACAATTCCTACCATACAACAAACTTTTTTTGAGCAAATCCAACTGATCACCACGTTGATATTTTACCCTACCCTCATGATCTGGTTTCTGAGTAGCAATAGTCAACTCAGAAAGTTAGGATTAGTTTTTTTTTTTCCAATTCAAGGTTTTTCTACAAATCAGCCCTCATTTTATTACCCCAAATAACTTGGTACCATTGGCAAACTTTGTCTTGTCTCTGTGCACCTCCTCTGCAGATCACAAGTGACCACCCAGTTCATCACAGCCCCACGCACTGATCTTTCTGGGAGTCCACTGGTTCTCTCTCTTCTCCCAACAGACTTTTTTCTTCTCCACCAGCAATAACTTTTCCATGCAAAGATGTCCTCTCTTATTCTGTTCTTCAAGAGCCTTTCCTTATGATGGGAATCACAGGGGTCACTTTCCAATTGTATTGAAATGATTTAGAGCTAATTATTGGAACGGAGCCACTGCTTCCCTCTCCTCTTCTGCTTTTTGCTGCCCTGGTACCACTCATCATTTTTCTTATTCTTTACACAAGATTCTTTGTGCTTTCATCAAAAAATCTCTTTTAAAATGTCATTTTAGTTTGTCTCTGGATATGGAGTGTGGTCATTCCAAAACTGTACTGTGAATTACTCTTCAAAAACCTGGGGTTGGCCTTGTTTCCAGAGCAATCCCTGGCTCATGAGCAGGGACTCGTTACAGAAAGATGCTGTTTCACTAGAAATTCTTTTCCTCTAGAAGGAGCTCTGAACACTGCACTTCTACTGGTAGTCTCCAATTAATCTTCCTTAACTAATTGCGAAAATCTAGGACATTTGTCTCCTGCCTGCTGCCACCAGAAGGACATCCACCTATGGCCTCAGTATTTACACCATCAATTTATAACCTACATGAAAGCTGAATTCATTTTGTAAACAGGTTATTCCTGAAGTTTAATGCCCCAGAAAGCAGCACCTCATGCCTCTCCTTTAAATTGGCCTTTTCCTTGGCGCATTCTGTCTGGTGCATAGCACCCAGCTCTACCACCTCCAAATACTTCATCCTCTCAAATGAAAAAAAAATTCCAAGAGCTCTTTCCCAAACATTATTCCTATAAAAAAAGTTGCAGACAAAGTCTTAGGCTTGTTGAAAACTCAAATATGTTTCATTCTAATGAATTTCCAAGAAGAAACACAGTTTTCTCAGAAGTAATTATGATTTTTAAGAATTGTGTGCGATGGGTATTGTTCTTGAGCTCTGCTGTGCCTTTAGCACCCACCTCATCATGTTCTTTTGAGCATCATCAGCCTCGGGGAGCTCTGAACAGAGGCTTTCAGAGCAGTATTAAGAAAACAGCTGCTCTACTTAAGCAAAGAGGCTGCTCAGTCTCTCAGTATATGTTGCAAAATCTTCCCCCTTTGCATTAGTGTGGGAATCACCTGTTACCACATGGAGCCATTATCTTTATTCCTTTGTTTCCATTTCACATTCTAGCTTTACTTCAATTTTCTTCTTGCCTTCTCCATACATGGAAAAGTTAAACAAAAAACAGACCCAGAAAAAAGTCCTAACAAGGACAACTTTGCTGCAGGAAGCTTAAGTTATAACTGAAACCAAGAACAAAGCCGTAATCATGTGCTTCCCTTGGTCTGCCACCCTCCATGGAGTCAATTTAAAACTATTTGGGAAAACAAAAGAAAAAGAAACACTAGTTTTTCTGAAAGTAAATTTTCTTCCCTTTAAAGGGAAAAAAACTCCACCGCACTGGAATCTCACTGTAACTACAGGTTTGTAGCTGCCTTGACCCAGCCTGGGCATCTCTGCAGAAGGGAGAAGCTCTGGTGACTCACCCAGAAGCATCACCAGTCTCCTGCAGGACCTCCCGTTGTAGCCCAGGGAATGCAGAGGCCAGGCCAAGACCAAAGCTGGGGAGATGCATGGCAGGGGGTAAACCCAGCCACCACACACAATGGATAACAGGCCTTCTGAAGGTCACCTAGGAGGGGAATTATCTCCTAGATTTCTGGCATATTCTTTCCAACAAGCTCATATACCATAGTCTGGATGTGCCTGTCTTTTGGGCACACAGAGGGCCCCTGGGGAGCTCAGGGACAAGTGTAAGGACAGCTTTTCTATATTTATGAAGTTGTGATGTAAGGAGACAGGGTCCTCTCCACCTTCTTGTAAGACAAAGCCAAGGTAAACTGCCTCAGCTTATGCCAAGCCCTGGGCAGCCTTGCCTTTCCCATATAAACACTGGCAGCAACGAAGCCATGCACTCACCTTGGGGATTTTGGCAAATCGCCCCACTCGGGTATCTCGGATGCTGGTTATATCCAAAATTTCCATTTCCTACAACAGAACAAGGACAAGGAAGGTGAAGGAAAGATAAAGGAATACGGAAAGGAATCCACTGCAAAGCCCCCAGAAGCTGCAAAGCAGGGCTCTGGCCATGCCCTTCCCCGGAGCAGAGCTCTCCCACCAGGAAGGACGTGGGCAGGGGAACACGGGCTGCTGCTCTGCCAGGGTCCTGTGGGGAAACTCTACCCCAGGGACACTCCATGTGTTGATGGTTCAGGTTCTCAGCCTGCCTTTGCCCTCACACATCCAGGGAGCAGCTGAGCAGAAGGCCAGGGCAGGCCCCGTGCTCCCTGGGTCACCCCCAGAACAATGTCACCTTCTCTGAAGCAATTCCCATGGAGGACATTCCACAGCCTTCCCCGGGCAGCCCACTCCACCTCCTCACCACTGCCTTGTTGTCATGTTTATTTCGTTTGTTCTTTTAATATCCAACCTGAATTTCCTTCCTCTGTTACTAATTTGTCTTCTCACCACGGATCTGGAGAACCCATTATACTTGTTGCAGCAGATAATATTATTTTCCAAGACCAGAACAAGGAGCAATGTGGATACCATGGCTTCTGGCTGCATCCCCAGTTTATAGTGAAGCAGGATGGAAATTTCACTCCTAATCCCACTGCAACCCCAGTAAAAAAGTGGTGGAGTTTTTCTTCCTTGCTGTTCATGACAAGCAGATCTTAAGCGGAATCAGCCAAAGGTTAATAAGCCACACGAATTCAACAGACAAACTACTGCCCGTGCCCCACCATGCTCCACATCAGCCCATCTCTTGTCCCCGGTGGCTGGGCTGATGCCAGCCCGCACGTGACCTGCCCTGGCTCCCTCTGACAGCCGGCACTGGCCCAACACCCTTCTCACCAGCTCACACTGTCTGCAGCTTCCCTCAGAGAGCAGGAACGACGCCAGGCAAGCGCTTCCCCAAGGATGTAAAACAGGCTGTTGCTCCACTGCAGCTCTCAGATTTGTTTACAGTTTATTTTAGGTGCTAATCAATGGCATTTTTCAGGAATATGAGACATCCCCCCAGTCCGGGTTTCCTCTATCAGCTCTGCTTCCCTACCCCAGCCCCTTTTTCCCAGGTCATTACGCCCCTCATGCCTGTAACCCAGCGAAATATCTCACTTTTGATGGCTGACAACAGCTCCCCTTTCCCCATTTTGTGCACCTCCTCCAGTGCTACCTCTTCTTCCCACTGTCTGGCTGGAGCCCTAAAATTCTACCACCAGGAGCAGACCTTGAGAGGGGGACGAGGGTGAGGGAGATGGCAGAAAGGGGAGCACATCTTCTAGAGGAATGTGACAGTCCCCAGCCTCACAACACTGCTTTCTCGGGGGATATGGCTGTGTGGCAGTGCCTTTCCCCCACGGCACTGGGGCACAGTCGTCTGAGAAGGCCAAGTTCATCAAACCCCTCAGGTCTCCCGGCCAGGCGCTGTGGGGACTGTATGTCTCTTTATCTGCCATGCCTCTTCAGCATGTAGGTCATGAGGAGGAAGTAGAGCTGAACCACAGCTCTGCTCTGGAAAGCAGAAGTAAACCCAGCCTTCCACCTCCACTCAGACAGATCTCTCCACCCCTTCTTGCTACTCATCAGTGAGGAACTGAATTCTCTTTCCTAAATTTGTTGCCCCTCTCTCTCCCCCAGAAGCCAGGACCCTGTGGTTTACCTCCAGGGACAATTCACTCTCCAGACTCAATGCTGTCTCTACATCACTATGGTCACTACGTTGTTTTTTTTTTAATTAAAATCTCTAAAACACCAACAGGTCAGTTAATTACAACACAGGCTGCACATCAAGTACACGTTAGCAGAAGCTGCACACATTTAATTAGATACATCCAACCAGTTTCCTTCCAGCTGCACCATTGCACTGCCTGGGATGATCTTTAGCGTGCTGGGTACAGGGGTAACCCAATGCTGTTCTCTGTGAAGCCCTCTGAAGCACATCTAAGGAACTTTGCAGGTATAAGATTGTCAGTGTGACAAGCACAAAAAGGCCATGCTCATCTCTCTGGCACATTTGCAGCTTAATTTCCTGCTCTTTTTCTGGAACCCGGAGACAAATCTGCCACTGGATAAGCATGAGACTCCCAGGTCCTTTTTGGGCATTTTCTTGGCGAGTGCAGTGAGTGTGGCAGAGTGCTCCTGAGTGCAGAACTCCAGCATCTGTGGTGTTTTAATCTCACACAAACTTTATCAGGCTATTTGGAGACCACGCTGTGAAGTCTCAGCACTTACCTTATTCTGATAGGTCCAGTATAAGTAAAAGCCCTTTGGATCCACTCGAAGAATCACGGGAGAGGCATTTGCTGTTTCCTGACAAAAAAAAAACCAAAAGAAGAAAGGTCAGCACTGTACATGACTTGGAGAATCCATCATGGGACACAAGGTTCCCAGTTCAAATATAGACCCAGTCGGGTGAATCATCTTCTGATTTATGGAAATGAACCAGATGATTTTAGAACATCTCCAGAGTAACAGTGTGAGGCTACAGAAGCCGATCTCTGCTGGAGCCTGGTGCTCACCTAACACTGAACAACTCTCTTGGAGCTTCTATACAACGAATTAAGAGAAGGAAGTACCTGTAGATGCAATTGTTTGTTTCATTTGAACTGCCTTCCCTCCAAGGCACCTACTTTGTTCTATGAGCTGCAGAGTGAGCCCAGGATGAGCACAGACAGCATTAATCCATGGCACGTACCCTCTAGGTGTCTATAACCACACCAGTTATCTGGGCTCTCTTCACAGAGAATGGGGCCAAGACAGGAAGAGTGCAAGGAGGGATCCATCGAATACAGATGAGTCTGCTTTAGGTGGTCTTAAACTCCATGGCCTAGCTCTACACAGACTATAAAAAGGAGTAAGCTATTTGAACACCCACACTACAGACACAGTTAGATGAAATAATTTGGGGCCGATCCTGAACTCCACACAACAGGGGGACCCTCCAGATCAGAGCCAAGGCACGTACCGCAAAGCAGACACAGGCTGCTGGGGGGTTGTGTCCTTTGCCTCTGAGTATTTACACTGCTTCTGCATTGTCAGTTAAGGACAACTTCACAGACATTTTCAAGAACGACCTCCGTTCCCACCTCACACACAAGCCTGCGCTAAGAGATGAATTAGCATGAGCTCTTTGGCGCCGGAGATAAAGGGCACTCGGTGCCTCCGCTTGGGCCCCAGCCCATCTGCTCATTCAGCCTCGCTGACTCCTCACCATGTTTGACCTCGGCTGCCACAGAAGATAGGATCGTAAGGCCTATCAGCCATTTCCAGGAAGGCTTCGAATTCAATTCAGGAAGTTGAAATACCCAGCTACTGAGATGAAACCAGTACCGGAATCTGAGAGCTGTACTTGTCACTTGAGTTCTTCACTCTGTTGCTGAACTCATACTTCACTCCAGAGTGTATCTGTATTTCCAGGGACCTCCATTGCCAGAGTCAGTATTCTTCATGACAGCCAACTGCCCGGGCCATGGTGCATTGCGTGTTCTCCTCTTCCTCACCACTGCCTTTCCCACTCTGCACGAGGGACAAGGCTGATGTGCACAGCACCATGCCCGTGTTCCCAGAGCTCTTGGTTGGCTCCCTGAACACAAGCCCTGAAGAGCAAAGCAGACACTGTAGTGCTGCTACTGACCATTGTGCCATGTTTCTAGATTAAATTTATCTCCTCCGAAGCAGCTCTCTCGAAAGCTGGCTCAGGCTGCAATGCGGATCGCTGACACCGGCCTCCTCACCAGGGACACGGATGGCCTGGGGTGCAGGTACTTTCCTGTTGCTCCTTGCAACAAATGCGATGCTGAATTCCACAAGAGATGGTCTGGCGGCCAAGCTGGCTGCTGCTCACGCTGTGGAGGTCAACTCCAGGGCAGAAAGCAAGTGTTCTCTGGTAAAATCCTGTACTACATCATCTTTCAAGGATAGAAAACATTTTTGCTTGTACTTAGAGGACTAAGAGTCAGCATAAAGCCAAATACACAGGCGCCTGCTCGGCTTACGAGGTCGGCTGCTGCATCAGGCCCTGCTGGAGGTTTCGAAAGGGTTCCCAAGCCAGTTCTTGAAATAAACTCTCCCCCCGACAGTAGGAGTTAACCTCCTGAGCCTGGCCGGCAGCCCCAGCTCACTGCGTGCTCAGCAAAGCCCAGCACAGGGTTGCTCCTGGCGCCAGGACGTGACAGCCCAGCCTGTCAGAGACCCCGCTGTGCTCCCCTCCGGAGAACACACTGCAAATCCTGGACAAGGTGTAGGCACTACAGAAAAAAAACGTGGGTTTGATTTACTCAAGAAACTGCTGGGTAGAGTCCAGCCCCAAACTGCACAGCGATGTAAGGAGCCTATCTGTTCTACCTTCATTCCTCCACCTCAAATACTGCGGAAGGAGTTCAAAGCTATTGCCAACAGGTCTGTTCTACATTCCTTCACCTCAAATATTGCGGAAGGAGTTCAAAGCTATTGCCAACAGCACAGCCAGATCAATTCAAAGAGTGAGACAAAAAATGCAGGACCGTGACCTCTGAAGAGCAGCTTTTATCCTGCCCCTCCACTAGCCCTGCTGCAGCCCGGGACTCCTGCCATGGTCCCCTGCAGCCGGCTCTAACCGAGGAGTGGGAAAGCACCATGAGATGGGGCAACGTGACCAGAACAGCCCACTCACGGAGAAGGCTTTCATTATTGGTGGAGGTCAAGTCTGTAAACTACTTAGTAGTTAGAGGCAACCTTTTAGGAATGTTTACAATTCTGTAAACCTTAGGGACAGGGAAAAATCCACACAAGACTTGGGCTCCCTAACTCCTATGGTTGCAGCAGCAAATAAACACTTGGTGGGTCTGGAAGCCCAGCCTGACTCAGCTTGGGTTTGAAGGGAACTAACTATCCCAGGAATTCCCAGTGAAGCACTTAACAGCTTCGAGTTTGGGGGAAAATGGTCCCTACGGACCGAGCATAGACCGAGCATAGAAAGTCAGCAGCAATTTTAGACCAGTTTGTCTACTGTTATTCTCAGAAACCAAATCCCTGTTCAAATTCAGAGAAGCCAAGGGAGCATTCTGCAGGCAGTGGCCCCAGAGGAAAACCAGGGAAGGCTGTGCTCTCTGCCATGCCCTGGTGCCATCCTCCTGTTCTGCTCAGCCAGCGGATTAACTGCCCAGGGATGTTCCGACCTGTTCTCCTCAGCATCCATCCTCTCTGACAGTTGTATTTCACATTGCTTTCTCATTTCTCGGTGCCACTGGACCACCCCTGCTTTTGCTGCACACCAGTGATCCACCTCCCCCGCACACGCTGCCTTGGGACTTCAAACTCCATCCCAGCTTCACGCCCACAAAAGCCAGCACTGGTCCCTCCTGCACTGCTGCTGGAGGCACCTTCTGGTGCGGCTCATCGGCGATACCACATCCAATGTTTCACCCAGATCCTGGGGAATAACCACCACCTGGCCTGCCCCTCTTCTATCAACATTCATGCTCAACAGCAGGCAATTCATACTCCAGCCCAAATGGATGGGCAGCTGCTGCCCTCCCGCTCAGGTGTGCGGGTATTTGGGGAAATACTCTTTTGTCTTCTTAGAAGCTGAGGAGGGGGACTATTGCATTCAAAGTAACCTCTCCCCTTCTGCTGTTCCACACTTTCTTCCCCTCACAATGGAAGGCAGAAACTGCAAATGGGGGGTTTTGAAGATACAAGAGGACCCTGAGTTGGAGAGCAGCAGGTTTTTGCAGCGCCCTGCGGGGCTCCAGCACTGTTAAAGCACAGGCCCCTTGGTGCTCGGCCGCTGCGCAGACCCACAAGTGGGCAGGCGTGGGGGGACATGGCTCAACTCTCATCCACTCCAGCAACAGGGCCGTTAGAGGAAGCAGCTTGGAGCCTGATCTCTATCTGCTCGGCTCTGGAGTAAATCCTACCCCTGAGGCTCCTCCAGACGTGTCCCAGTGCAGCGTCTGCCTCTTGCCCCAGGGAGGCTCCCAGCAGTGACTGCCTGCCATGGGACCTGGGGTCCTACACCAGAGAAGCTGTGACCCAGACGCAGTGACACACTCCATTTACCTCCACAATAACAAGAGGTGCAGAAGTCACATCACCAACCCCTACCAATATGCCCTTTCTTTTTAGCCCTCGGCTCTCCTGTAGCTCTGAGTTCACCCTCCCAATCCAGACATCGCTGCTCTCAGGTACGACACTCAATGTCCCATCTCCCCCACTGAACCCGTGCTCCCAGCCTCCCCACAAACCCAGACCAGTGCATGGTATCTGCCCTGTCACCACACACACGACCCAGCAAAGCAGAAACCCCGGTACTCACATCATCCCATTTGATGAAGCGCTCACCCTTGGACAGATACTCCTTCACCTCCGGGGGCTGCAGGACAGGGGTAAGCATGGACATTCTGTCCCGCAGATGTGCTCCTCAGCGACCAGAAGCAACAGCAGCCACACGGTTTGCTCCTCCTCGGCCCCCTCTCCTCTATCTCTGCCTCTCACATGGCAGGGCGCTCTGCCATTGCCACTGTTGGCATCAGCAAGCGAACAGCCTCTTATATCCCAGCCAAATTTAGGAGGGGCAGGGACAGGCAGGCGAGGACCGATGAATCTGCATTGCAAATCGACAGCTCTCCAAGCAGGCACCGGCAGCTCAGCCCAAGGTCACGGGGAGGAGAGGCTGTGTGGGGCTGAGATGTCCTCCTGGGCGCCGTGTCTCCAGGAGGGACCCGCTCCCCCGAGCCACACTGGTGAAGCGCAGGGTTCGCAGCGCTTCCGCAACTGAACTTCCTTAAATGTTCTCTTTGACGAAGCGCAGGCATTGCCAGCCGACACAAACTATTTCAGCAGATGTGGTTGCGGAACAGCTCAGGCTTTGGCTACAAGCAGACTGCCCCCTTCATGCAATGGGCCAAATATCACGTAAAAGAAACTCAGTTCTTGCTCTGTAGGGACTCCATTTCTGGGGCCACTTGCTGCGCTGTCCAGTCTTTAACTTTTTGCCTTTCTCTTACGGGTTCTTCTGAACGTGGACCTGAGAAGTGAGAGAGAGAAGCGGAGCAGATGGAAATTCCACAGACAGCTGAAACAAAACATTCACAAGAGTCCTCAGGAACGACAAGATTCTCCAGATTCACTTGGGTCCACTGCAGATGCTCTGGGAACATGGCATGAGAGATGTGCAAGGTGGGGATTGTAGCCACGATGGCGCAGGGCAGTGACAGAAAGCAACACAGAAGGTTAATGGCAAACAGGGCAAAGACAAATCCCTGCCCCTGAGCTTGGAAGGCAGGAATTCCATGCAGACAGCAGAGGAGAGAAGGAGCAGATGGGCAGTGGCTGACCAGGAGAGCAGTTTGTGCAAAGGACTGACATGGGCAAGGTTAATTTTAGTCAAAAAGGCAGAGCCCCACGACTAAGTAGAAGTGGAAATAACTCTGCTACTCTTGCTATTCCCAGCCAGGAACACAGCATGAGAGATGTGCAAGGTGGGGATTGTAGCCACGATGGCGCAGGGCAGTGACAGAAAGCAACACAGAAGGTTAATGGCAAACAGGGCAAAGACAAATCCCTGCCCCTGAGCTTGGAAGGCAGGAATTCCATGCAGACAGCAGAGGAGAGAAGGAGCAGATGGGCAGTGGCTGACCAGGAGAGCAGTTTGTGCAAAGGACTGACATGGGCAAGGTTAATTTTAGTCAAAAAGGCAGAGCCCCACGACTAAGTAGAAGTGGAAATAACTCTGCTACTCTTGCTATTCCCAGCCACACGCTGGGATTTCATCCTTCTTGTCTCCTCTGGAAGTCAAGGTGTGGCACTTGCCATTGCTCAAGAGGGACAAGACACTGTCGAGGTAGCGCAGATGCTCTGGGAAGGGTGGACAAAGAGACTCCCACTGTGCAAAGGGAGCCAGCTGCATGGGTTTGTTCCTTCTTTCCCACCTCTGGCTTCCCCAGTTCGATCAGGCCAGCACTTCAAAGCAGACTGGACAGCTGGGGGAAGGCTGCCTAAAGGAATCAGCAGCGGGAGAGATGAAGTGGACCTGTAGCAAGTGCTCCAGCTGTAAAAACCCAAAGAGGGCAGCAACCCTCTGAGAGATGCCTGCTGCAGGAACAGAGAACCCTGCACAGACCCAACAGCCCTTGTGCATTTCTTTCAAGGATTTACCTGCCTGACAACCTGGGAATGAGAGAGCTTCTACATTTCCAGCTACCATTGAGTTTTGTGCATTTACTAACTTCTTTCACAAGGCACTGTACTTCCCAAGCATCAGCTCCCCAGCCAAGGCTGTCAGCTCTGTTTTATCAGGCAGTGGACCGAGGAAGCTCACCCGTAGCTGTGCTTACTCCCTGTCGGGGCTGAGACCAGGGACATGGGAACCCATCACCTCCGCTCTCATAACCAAGCCACACTCGTGGTATTAAGCTTCCTTTGCACGTGCAAAGTGACATTGTGCTTTTCGGGCAGCTGACAGAGCCCTGGGGTACTCCAGGGTGGGCCAAGACAGCATCACCAGGACATCCCCCACCTCAGAGAATGCCATTACTCCCAAGCAACAAAGCCACAGTGTCTGCTCACTGTCCAAAGGACATGCTCAGGGACTTCAGCAACAGCCCAGCTCTTGGCAATGCCAGAGAAACTCCAGGCACTGCTGGGGGGGTGTTGTCCTACGCTCTTAAAATGCTCAGGAACACACCCCAAGGCCCGGGTACATCTAGGGAAAGCCCATGGGAGCAGAGGAGGCTGCAGTGAGGAGTGAAAGTTTTCTCAACTCTCACCTGATCCCTTCTGCAAGGCCAGAGCCATTTCAGGGCTGCTTAACTGTAACTTAGGGAGCAGCTGTGAAGAGGATGAAGAGGATGAAGAGCATCACTCTCACCCAGCAGTGCTGCAGCCCTCCTGCCCTCTGCAACACTCAAAGCACTAAAGTGCTCTGAAGTGCCTTGAAGACACTGCAGTGTGGCTGTGAAGAAGTGAAAGGTGGGATGAGCTTTGCAGAGGAGATAGGGGACAGGGTGCCCAGGAATGGGACAAGAGCAAATGGGCACAAACTTGAATATAAGAAGTTCCACCTAAACGGGAGGAGGAACTTCTCCACTTTGAGGGTGGCAGAGCCCTGGCAGAGGCTGCCCAGAGAGGTGGTGGAGTCTCCTTCTCTGGAGACATTCAAACCCACCTGGACACGTTCCTGTGGGACCTGCTCTGGGTGGCCCTGCTCTGGCAGGGGGTTGGAGGAGATGATCTCCAGAGGTCCCTTCCAACCCCATGGAATTCTGGGATTCTGTGAGATCAGGCAGTCACAGTAACTGGTCCCAGTGGCCCATCTAGTATTTACCACAGTTACCATTGCTCCGTGAGCCACGTCTGCTCCCTGCCAGAACTGGGGCCTCAGGGAAAGGCTGCTTCTCTCCTGCATTCTCTCAGACCTGGACATTAAACAGTTTTCTCTGCCTCATCAACAAACCTAAAGTAAGCAAGAATCCTACCACAGCTTTACTTGCTTCACACTCACGGTCAGCTTTTCCTGAGGGATAAAACAATAAATTAAAATGAAACCCCACCACGCAGAGCAGCACCCAAGCCAGCGGCTGTCCTGGGAGGCTGCGCGCATCAGCAGCGGCCAAGATCCCCACTTGCACAAAGACGGTCACAAAAGCTGAAGCTCACTTCCTTTTGCATAACCCAACCTCCTTATCTTTCATTTCACACTCCTTGCTCTATGTGGGAGCTTCTGTCCTTTGCATGAAGAGATGGCTGATGGAACAGCGATAGAATAAAGCAACAGTCCTGCCCTCTGCTGAGAGCTCTGATATCGGAGCAGGCAGAAGCAGCAGCATTTTCAGCAGCATTTATTCCAACCACTCTTTATTTTATTTCTCCTGCAAGGCCAGTCACACAGTGTACACTCACTCTACTTCCCCTCTGTCCCCTTTGCTTTCCTCCCTTACCCTCACCACTGACCATCCCACCACAAATGCCAATATGCACAAATTGCCCTTTTGTCTTTTTTGCTGCCTCTTTTATTTTTTCCCTGGATACTTTCCCTTATCTCCCTGTGCTATTTATTCAGCAGGCTCTACCTCCCACCAGGTGCACGCAGAAGCAAGGCAGTCAGCATTACCCTTCCAAGATTTTACAAGACAGGGTCTGTAGGCTGATCTAAGCCGGGCTATTAAATCACCTTGACTGGATGGCTCCCAAGTCCTAGCAAATGAGTTTATCACCTCGACCCCAGCCAAGTCCTAGCACACACAAAAATCTGTAAATCTCTTCCAGCACCGTTCCACTATAATTATAGCTTGCAACGTGTAAGGCTGTCCTCTAGTGAACAGCTGTGATACTGCACACCCAGCCTCCAGCAGCGCACACCAGTAGTGAAGTCACAGCCAGGCACAGCTGAGTTCATCCTGCTGCTCCTTTCTCCATTCTGCCCTCTGAGCCCTGGCAATCCTGAAAGGATTAATGGCACCGTTAGGACCACAAAGGCCAGTCTCTTCTCACCACCCCTGGAGAGGAGAACTGCTGAGTGTGTGTCTGCGGGGGCATATTTTATATCCTACTTTGAACCCAAACCACAAATTCATGACAGCTCTCAGCTGACAACATGACTCTGCAGCTCCATCTGCCAAAGTGAGAGGGCAGTGGATTACAGCACCCAAGACAAGTGCCCACAGATGCCGCAATACCAGAAAAGCAGTGAGGTTTGGTGTAAAAAAAACCAAAATCCAAACAATCTGACCAACCACCCAGACATTGTTAGGTCCATAATTAACTGTCCACTGGCAGGAATATGCAGCAGGAGTCTGATGTGCTTACAGCACTCTGCTGGCTTCCTGCACGCTTCCAACCTGCACAGCTGAGGGACACAAGCTCACACTGCTTAAACATCCTATACGTCACTGCAGGACAAAGATAACACTGCAGGGGGAGGACTAAACCAGGCAATTCCTAATTGCTAGCAAAAAAATGACAATTTCCAAGACGGGTCACTAAGAGAAGAGCAAGGAGGATGAGCAGCAGCACAGGAGGCAGAACGTGCCCATCTCCTGTCACCACGCAGTAAGGGAACAGCAAGAACAGGAAAGTGAGTTCTACCACCACGTTTGCTGCCTGCCACAGCAGCTTCCCAGCCCTGGTTCAGAGCTCAGTATTTCAGCAATACTTCTGCCATACTCACATCCCTGTTCCTTCTACTTTTCACAGTCAGTCTATTAGAACAGACTATTTCAGTTGGAAGGGACCTACAATGATCATCTAGTCCAACTGCCTGACCGGTTCAGGGCTCACCCAAAGTTAAAGCATGTTGTTAAGGGCATTGTCCAAACGCTTCTTCACCACTGACAGGCTTGGGTTCTACAACCACTCCAAGAAGCCTGTTCCAGTTCTACAACCTGCACTTTACTCACTCAGCTTCCCTTGCACACGTGTAATTTTTTCAATTTGTGAGAAGGTCAGATGCTAAGGCCCATTTCACAAGTGCAAACTTCCTGTGGAAGGTCCAAAGCACCAAACCCAGCTGCCAGACACTGCCTCTGCCCAGCCAGTCCAGTCCAGTAGATCACAGTCCCCTTGGGCAGGTCACAGAGAACAGCAGCTCAGGGGCTTTGAAGATCAAGGTCAACTTCTTAAATCGACATACCATTGAAGATAGTACCTGGGGCAAGACATATCTAGCAGCTTTAGGAATGGAGAAATTACAGATTTTTAAGGTCAACATGCTCTGTCAGTTGAGACGAACTATTACTCCTGAAGCATCAGTCTTCATTGTGAAATAAAGGATGAAGAGTGAGCGCTTTGATCCACAAC